CAAGAAACTTTTTATCAGGGATTGTTTTGGATATGTGTCTTGATTTTAATTGTGTTATGGATGTTGAGTGGGAGTTAGAAAATTTCCAAGTAAAAAATATTAATATGACAAAAAAATTTACTTTTCCTCCTAAGGAAGAAATGGAAAGAGTTCGCAAAAGAATAGCTCGTCCTGGTTATCGTCGGGTCAATATTGGTCTTTTGCCTGATGCAACGGAATCGGATAAAGCCAAATTTTACCTCTGCAAAAGTATTTTACGATACGAACAAGAAAATGACCTTTCGGAAAAGGAGTTGCGGGAGAAGTTAGGAATAAACCAAGCCAAACTAGAACACATTCTCTTTTGCCACATTAGCAAACTTGCCTTAGAAGAACTAATTAATTGTTTGGAAAAACTACATTTCCCTTGTGAACTAAAAATTGAAATTTCACTAAATTAGAGATTAGCCCTGATTATGAAGAGAAGAATAAGGAATTCATAACGGGCTTAAAAGAAAAAGGAATTAAACCAACTAAGTTAGAATTAGCCAAAGTCTTAATCACTGATGATTTAATTAGAGAACTAGTTAAACAATTAGCCAGCAGTGGTGAAGAAAAGAGAATAAAGAATGAAGGAAATTATTACCAGTATTCTTACTATTCAGTGGAACCAATTTATAACCAATGAGGCTACGCTTTTAGATTGGTTTGATGTTTAGATAAAAATAACCCACATATTCTGGGAGTAATGGATTGTTATTGACGAAGCCAATATAATAAAGTTGCTTGACCTTGAATAAAAAAATAGTTAAATTAGCCTTGTTTTTATCCTTGTATAAGATTTTCCTATTTTAGCCTTGTAAGGGATAATTAGGCAGGTTTTCTTAATCTAGAGTGTGTGGTTTGGGAATAACTAAAGGGTTGGACTTCTTTCTTGATTTGTTTTTCAAGTAAATCTTTGCTAATTTCTAAATCGCAATGTTGTTGCAAATTCATTCAAAATTGAGCACTAATGCCACAAATAACCCCCCCAGTCTTAGAGCAATTTCCGCTCTTTTGGCAAATTTCACTGATTACCTTGGGAGAAACACTAATTCCGTGGGCTAGTTCAACTTGGCTAAGTTTGCGGGGTGCTAATATTTCCTCTTTCAATATTTCGCTGGGGTGAATGGGGGCTAATTTTTTACTTT